CACTTACATCAACTACTGATGTATCTGATTATGCTATAGGAACGATACGAAAATAAGTGAACCATAGTTATACTAGAGTACCTTATTTTTTCAAACGGTTACTCATCGTTCAAAACATTTGTGTGATTGAGAATTTGAGAAATTGTAGAAATGTAAATATAGAAAAATACGAGATATTATTAGATAAGCAAATCTATAACGAACATTGAATATATAAATACACTATATAGTGGGTAACGGTAATGTTCCACCAGATGTTTTTGTATCAAGAACCGAAGCTCTAGACACTGGACTATGATACATTTTAACTCCACCAGAGGCCCAGCACCAGGAAAGTGGCTTAGAACTTCAGCATCTAAAGCAACATAGTTCTTACATTAAGAAAATTAAAATTTGTTGTTAATAACGATAATAACACACTAATATTTATTGTGATACATCTACCATCAACAAACGCTCATACACACCTGTATATTTCAGGAAAGCAGTAGTCACTAGTCAGTGTTGGGAGTAGAGTAGATATCTAAATTTTTATGTACATAAAGATAAAGATAATCAATAAATATTTTATCTAAATAAAGATCAAGATAAATAAATTAAATTTTTATCTAGATAAAGATTATTAAACAACCATTGACTCTAGATAAAATTAAGATAAATTGTAAAATATGAAAATATAAAATTTTTCAGTATAGATGTTGAAGTGTACTATTTTCATAACCAACACAGCTACATAATTCAGTGTCCTCTCAATAGAGCAGAGAGATCTGAATGAATAATAAGTATAAAATAGGTATAAAATAGGTATTATATTTGTTGTATAATATAAGAGTAGAATAATAAGTCACAGCTAGTGACTATCTACTACAAATCAAGTCTTATTTTAGGTAGAAATAATAGTAAAACTTTCACTAGTTATAACATAATAATGTTCTTTTAAATGCAATTGCATATAAAAAAATCTTTTAATTTTAAGTAACACAATCATATGCAAATAGGTATCTAGCCATTTTATAATGATAGAAATTAAAATGTATATTGCATGGAGTACTACTAACTTAAAGTACCTTCACACTTCAAGCTGCCACAACATTCGTGAAAGTTAGAAATTTGGTCTTATTTAAGTATTTGCAGTATGAAAAAAAATATGTTTAAACATTTTTTTTTTTTTTTTTTAAACAAGAGAATTGTACAATCTGTAAATTAGGTTTTACAATAAGCACAAGTGATATTAGGATAGAATAATATAGAAAAGATGAAATAATATATTTAAATATAACATGATATTATTTTACCTCGATGGATCATTCTGTTCATTTAGAATTACACGATGCGTGAGGGAGAAAGAGCGCCGTCACCAATCAGTATAACAGTTCTGTGTGTTACTGTGTTAGTGTGTGTGAATTTGGTACTTATTTATAATATTTATAAATAGTACTCAGATAATAATACTGAAATACACACAAATAATCCCACCATTATCGTTAAATTGGCCGATAGTAATATTTTTATACCATTAGCAATGAAAACAATTCCCATAGAAAATATTAAATAATAACGAATAAAAATTTAAAAAATGCAATTTTAATTAAAACCAAAAAGTACAAACTCGAATAATTTATATCCAAATATCTAGATAAGTAAATCACTTATCTAAGATGATTTCTAAAGATAGTTTTCAACAGTTAATTTATATTTATCTAGATGAGATAAAGATAAACTGTTAATAATCTAGATAAAATTATTTAGATAATCCCAACACTGACAGTATTTAAAGTTTACAAGAGGTAACAAGGAATTACACACCCTGAACAGAGGACAACAACAATTAGTCCAATTTTGGATAAATGTTGCATTCAATATGCCCTAGAGCAAATGTCAAACGTCTTACTCGAGTTCATTTCAGAAAATCGACATACTAGCTGTCAGGTTTTGGGAGTTCAATATGTAGCCTGTAGGAAATTCTCTTTTACAAGGTAAAAAAATGAATTTTATTATGAAAATCCGAAAATTCTCCAAAGGTCTGAGAATTCAAAAGCGACAATATTTATTGCATTTAAAATATGACATACTTTAGGGAAAACCAATTTCCCGGTGATATTAGTTTATGATAACTTTAATAATAAAGTACACAACATATGTTTAATTTTAAATTGATTGGTAAGAAGATTTATATTTAGACCAACGGATAGCTTTTAGTGCCGAAATAATTGTATCCGATAAACAATGTAAAAATACATATTGTATAAAACCAATAACTATTTTTCAGATTATAATGAAAAATTACCATAACAACTCTAAAAATATAGTTTGTTTATCTTAATATATTCCTTGTTAGTGAAAACTTATAAAATATATTCTAACGTATATTTACATATTATGCTGGTACGTATTCATTTTATCAAGTCTCTGTAACCTGTCATATTATTATATTATGTCGACGCAAATTATTTTTAATTCTGTTTTCTTGTTTAAAATTATATTTTACATATTGTTATTCATTATCTTTTAGGTTAAAAATTAATGCTTCTACTTCTACTATAAAGTCGATTACCGGTCGAAATTAGATTATTCTTTGTTCAATGCAGTTAATGGTCAGTTTATATTTAAAAAAATTGAAAATAAACACATAAAAAGATAATAAAATAAATCAACAAAACACTATGCTGATACGTCTTATTATTTATTTTAAAATCCAATAAGCTGCATCGCATCGCTTGCATCGTTTGGCTCAAAATCTAAAATGACATTAAATATTTTATTAAAACGTCTGTTAATTTTAACAACTGTAAAAAACCAAAGTTATTAATAGTAAATATAATAATAAGCCAAATGCGAATCAATAGCGTAGTATTTCTGTAATAATAAAAATAATTTACTATATTACTTACCTTATAATAATTATAGACCCCCCTCTGAATGCCACCAAAATAAAAACTTTTCAAAAGAGTCTCTTTAACTACCATGTTATAAGTTATAACAAAAAATACATCTTGTATTCTTGTAGCATATATCTTATTCTTTTTATGTGCATCACAGATATCATAAAATATACTATAATATAGTTATAATGAAAATTGGAAAATTTAAGTTATTAATACTAAAATTTCTGAAAATTAAGCAATTGAGTTGGTATGACAACAGATCATTCTATTTTTTTGCAATACCTAAATACAATAAATCTTCTATACATTTAGATTTTTGGACTTCGACGATCCTTGTCCTATGAATATTCAGATTTTTCGAACATTGAATTTCAATCATACATAATGTTATTAAAATTAATTAAATTAAGACAATTTTTAATTAAAGTTGAATAATTAGATCATAAAACCATCATCACCATTATCCCATTCAAATTTAATATTTGATTATTAATTCATTCTTGAACTATCCCGAGATTAGCTATTAATATTGATGCAATCCTTGGAGGAATAAATATAATTTATCTTTTTATAATCCGTCCTGATATATATTTTGGCCAATGCTCAGAAATGTTTGTAATTAATCATCGATTAAACCAATTCAATTTGAATTTATTAAATTTAATTGATTAATTTTTTGAATTAAACGATTTTAATTCTTTTGACGACTATAAAAGTAAAATAATAAACTATTAAACAAAATATTATACTAAATTAGCAATTACTTTTAGAGAAAGAGATTATTTAAAATGATAACATTTATTTGTCAAACATAAATTATATTTATATTTATAATATCGCATAAGCCTTTCAAAAAGCAATAATTAGTTAATTAGTTGATTAATTGTATTACTTGTTTTCTTGTCATTTGTCAATATTTAATTTTATTATAAACTTTTTACACTCAAATGTTATTAAAACTTTTTAAATTAAATATTTCCATAAAAATAAACTAATAAATTATATTTAATATTTTTGTAGGCACGTATGTAACATTAAACCATAACTATAATTTATAAAATTAAGTGCATATAATATGTTGTACGTTCTAAGATTATAGATGATAATATTAATATGATCTATTTGAAGAACAGAATTAAAAGATGCTTGTAAACTGATGGCTAAGAACCAAGTAGTCAAAAATTGTCCATTAATTTTTAAAATCGTTTTATGAGTCAATGATGGCCATGTGTTAGCCAGTGTCAATTTTAACATTCTGCCAAATATTAAAGCCACTTTATTCACTGTTTTTCAAATTGAATTTTGAATGCAAATTATGTTTAGTGTAAGTATGTAACTATTCATAAACAAGACTACAAGAGCAACAAATACAATGTACATTTTTAAAAATATTTATCGAGAAGTAAATATATAAGTATAAGGCGCACGTACATCATAGAGGCGTATCGCATATTATTATCTATGCGAATCCTTGTGTCTTAATTATTCTCTAATGATACATAGCATATATTTTTTAATTTTTATTTGCACTTTTAAAAAATAAATAAAAAGTTTTTAGTGCCTTTGTCTTACCGACATGCATAAAATCATGTATGTAATCTATAACTTAATTGTATAAGAACTAACTAGGAGAAAAAAACTTTTCCATTTGCTAGTATTCTAGTCTTTTACCTCCTAATGGAGTAAATTGGTACCTATAGATGGTATAACAAAAAAATTGGAAAATGTACAACAATATGTTTTGTTAAATTGTATGTTTATGGCATTCACCTCTGGCATTCAAGCCAAAAAAACATTATTTAACTACACCGGCAAATTGTATGAATGAGTAGACGCTATTATCAGACGACGAAAACTACGGTGACAATGACAAGGCATTACAGGTATGTAGGTACGTAGTAAATCCTAAAAATATTATCATACATTCATACCGTCGCAGGACGCCGTGGGTCGCTGCAGCGAGGACCGCGTACGGCGCAGTGAAATAAAATCTATATTTAGGGTACTCGCCGCCGCCGGCGGTGGCGCGTCGTCGTCACGTCGGCGCTCTGCGCTCGCTTCATACGCCGCGGTGCGCTTTTCGCTCGTCAACCCTCTCCGACGACGTTCGCTCCACGTCCCCGAGGCGTAAACACGCAGCATCCTGTTATCACTCTCTCTCTCTCTCTCTCTCACTCGGCCACTCATTCACTCTCACCCACTCGAACTCACTCACTCACTCTCAGCGTATGTGTGTGTGTGTGTGTGTCTCTCTCTCTCTTTCTCACTCGTCATTTCCGACGTATACGCACACTGTTTTTTCGGCCGCAGAATCGAAGTGGTGGCGTTGTCGAATATTACGACACTAACAGTGCCGCCGCCGTCGTCGTGCGTCACCGTCAGACACTAGTCCGAAATACCGACACACACAATCGACGACCGTAAACACAACGATGCTTACCGCGCCGAGTAAACGGGACGCGGCGTCGTCGAGTTGGATTGATAATATTATTATTCGTTGAGCGCGGACTGTCACTACCGCTGCCCGCCGGTCCGATCGGCGGCCATGGCGACCGAATACCGACAACGTCCCGGCATGGGCGACCATTTCGACGACGAGGTAAAACGCACGAAAACAGTATTATTATATAATTGTATGCTTAAGCCGCAAGTCCGCGAATCGTTGTGAACTATATTGATGTTATGCACTAGAGAAACGTGTTGAATATACGCGGTGTTATAGTGGCAAAACAATAATTACGCCCAAAAATTGAGCTGCAGAATGTGCATCGCGATAGGTATCTAAAATAAAAAAAAAAATTTAATAGTTTTTTTCGTGGGCTGTATTTGTATAGGCTCAACTTGAATGGTGAAAATATTTAAGATGGCATGCGGTAAATTATAAAACGTCTATTGTTAGGTATTAGTGATATTTCTTATATTTTCTTATGAATTTCAATAAATATTCGGATTCACAATGCGCCAAACATAATGCTGTAAGCCCTCATGAGCGATTACCTACATAAATAAATAATTACAAATGAATTATAATTGAAATGTACGATGAATGTAAGCACACAATTTCTTCAAACTTTAATATTTTTACTAATCAAAAAAATAACATATGTGGGTTACCGACGGCGCATTTTTATCATATAAGTAGTATTAAATGTATGGATAGTTAATTCGATTTCTTGAAAAATTCTTATACAATATTTAAGATACATATGTTACTGATGATACTACATGCCTCAACAGTCCAGGAATTAATTTATACGTAATATTATGCTAAAATATAACTTTATTTACGAAATCAGTTCAGCCCACTAGACACTTACAATAATATAAAATGTACCTATCATCTACATGTATGTTATAAATTATGCATATACCACGATTCAGGTATACATAATAATCAGGGGCGGTTCTCTAAAAGTACCAAGGGGAAGGTGGTGAAAAAATTTTTACACCATAACAACACATTTCACTTTTTTCCATTGATTTATACATGAGAAATAGTTTTATGTGCTATACTTCTACACTTTATACCAATAAATGAATAAATCAAATTATTTTTGTTTGTAATATAAATGTTTACATTTATTATATGGCCACGATGATGGGTGATGAGTGATGACTATTTGAGTTATTACTGCGGATTTACACAGGCCAAGGGCGATCCCACTGTCGCTACTCGTAAAACCATCACTGATAATAATAACAATAATAAAATACGAAATATATGTCAACGACGGACTGAAAAATACGACAGCATGATACGGTGACGATGGGGTGAAAAAATATCTATTGTACAGTAAAATATGTCACGACCATTTTGACTGTAAAAACGTTTTCTCTTTTGTCGTCTGGAAATTATAGGGTAGTCAGGTAGATAATAATGGGTTTGTATACTCGCAGTTGACAAGTTGTAAGTATATATTTTATTATATATGATGCAGACAATGAAATCCGATGATTTTGAAATAGGTATACTGTTGATGTTGCGTGTTAGGTGATACATTAACATAATATTATTGGTAATAGTATATTATACTATATAGGTAGGTATATTTTTATCTATGTGGCTATGTAGTTGTAGACGACACGATGGGCAGGAAATCGATAACACTACGAAAATAAGTCATTTTTGCGTAAACCGTATTGTGCAAGAGCCGCTCTCTGCACAGGGCTGTGACAACTACTTATAATACAGTGATTAAACTCAGTGGCGTAACGTACCGATAGGGTGGCATGACAGACAATGAGCCACAGGCACTGTAGAGGGCCCTTCAATAAATATCACAAATCCAAAAAACAGATCACAATTATTACAAGATTTAAAAATGTTATGATCTTTAAAAAAAATAAAATGCTGGCACCTAAAATTAATTTACTTTAAAATATAATAAGTTTACTTTGTAGAATAATGACGGAGACGGACACACTGTTATATTTTATAGATAATTTTATAGTGTTAGCTCGTCGATGGCGATGATGTAATAATTGAGAAACGGTTAGGTTAGTTTACCTATTCTTTCGCTAAAAATATTGACGGTAGATCCTCTTCACATAAATATTATTTTAAAGTGTCCAAATCTGGTTTAAAAACCAAAATATGGTCATGGTTGTGTTACTCGAATTTAATTCAAAGGCTTGAAAATTTGGAGCATAGGCGTGCAGGTTTTTTCACATGATATGCCGGTATTTTTAAATATACCTAGATCAACACAAAAAAATAACTCACCCATAACACTTCCAGAACTCGCCTCATATTGCAAATACGAATCTAAATTCGAAAAAAAATTAACATGCATTAACTTATTTTTTGGCTTAAGATATTTTAATTTGAAAAGTTTGTATTGTGATTTTATTCCAATAAAACAGTAGTATAAAAATCTACACAAATATAAACATATTTAGAATAATAAATAATGACAAAAAAATATTAATCTAATTAATCAAAATTCTTTTTTTTTTTTGATAGTAGTATGAAAATGAATAATAGCGCAAAAGCCAGCTCTCCAGAATGTTTTGTGACAAAAGCTATCATTCTCACGAAAATGGTGTATTTTGACTTAGACTATTATCATGAGTTAGCAATCTATTTTATTATACATCAGTACATTTCTGTAGTGATTGTGATAGCATAATAAATTATGAAACTTGTTTAATATCTGATATCATCTCAACTCCAAATATTTTTATAAGAAAAAAAATATCTAAATATTTGAATTCTAATCATAAACTAAGGTAGTAGTCCAAGTTATTATGAACTATCTTAGTTTATGATTCTAATCAAAATATTTACAAATAAAACAATGTTAACACAACTCTGCAGGGGATGCCCTATAATTTGTAAAATTAAAGGCTTACTGGATTATTTTTCCATGGGCATTAGACGTTCTAGTTACGCCACTGGTTAACGCGTTATCGATAGACATATATATTCTACCCGTCAACGGTTGAAAGGTGAGCTTCTTGTCAGTAAAGAACTATATTTACGTCGATTTTTCAGGAAATTGTTTTCTCTTAGAGTTTATTTTTTCGTTGGTTTTTTTATTTGCACTTCAAAGTTGCAAATATAATACGTTGTTTTGATGTTTTAACATAATATAATAAAGTGGATACAATATACAAAATAAAACCTTGTAAATAACATACGATATATACTGTAATAATATACATATATATATATATTATATATCTAAATGTATACTATTGTATAGTCTTCAAATATTTATTATTTTTTTGATTAAAAAATATTGATTTGTGACTGATGAAATACGAAACCATAATTTTGAACCAACATCGTAAAGCAATTAAAGTAAAAAAAATGTTTTTACGTTATAACGAATAATGGAATCACTTTTGAAATTTTGAATTTCTCTGAAAACGTAATAAAATATATTTTAATCAATCAACTTACAATATTTTCTAAGTAAATGCAAAACTTATCAATTATTATTTTTTAGTACAAATCGCACATCTTATATCATTTAAGAATGGCTAATGGTGCATTTACTAAACAATTTAAAATTTTAACTTCTGTTGTCAGAAAATATTTTGATTTTTTTTTTAACGATACCTTTAAATACTCAGTATTATCATACTGAGATTAAAACATTTAGCACCCTATATTTTTCCCACCTTCAAAATAAAAACGATACCTAGTTACATACAACAAACGTGCCTCCATAAGTATAAAGCTAATAAACAATGATAAAGAATTACAATTTGCATTAAGCTATTTATTTAATTATAATAGTAATATTCTAAAATTACAGATAAAATAGTAATCCTTATAATAATATAACTGCTGAATGTATAACACAAACGATTATTGATGACCATATGGGATGCTAAAACTACTAATAAAATGTATTATTTAGAAGTAGGAAGCAAGAACAAAACTAATAATTTTAGTCCATTCCTATTTCCAGTGATCTATTATAGTGCCTACAAAATATATTAAGTTACAAAACCTATACACAATAGCAGTATATTATACTACTATTTGAATAGTTATTTATCATTAATTGTAGTATTTGTGAGACTTATAAAACGTTTTCAGTTCCAATTTTTTATGAAAACTAACAATGTGCCTAACATTTATTGGGAATCTATTGAAATTACTACTTAACTGCTCCACATCTCAATATACATTATTTTTTAACACGAAGCTATCACATACAAAATGCATAAAATACCTGTAAATCTATCTATAAATAAAATTACCCATGACTATAAGGTTATTGATTAATATACCTGATAAGTAAATTACGATAGACATCAACAATCGCATTGGTAACTAATATTATGAAACATTTGTACCACCCAAATACAATTCACTTACAACTTAAACCAACTTAAATTAACTTTAAAAAAATACATTAGTACTTTCCTAATTTTTTTAGGATCTTGTGATGAGTTCAGCCCAACAGCGACGAAATTGGCGTGGGATACTCATCGCTCTCATGGTTATCGTCGCGGTTTTAGCTATGATAGTAACGTCTGTAGTCTTATTGACTCCGCCTCAACTAGAAGAACTGTCGGACTCATACTCGGACTCAGAGAACGGTGACAGAAGTGGTTCGGATTACTATTACAACCAACGAGCAAACGATGAACTATGGTGGCGTCATAGAGGTATGAGGACATTACGTTTATCAGATATATTGTCAGATTCAGCAAATATTAAACTATTCAACGGAACGTGGATTTCCGGTACTGAGATATTTTACGTGACCAGCACTGGTGACTTAGCCATAATGGAGATCATGGCAGACGGCATTACGCAGACTACTCACCACATAATGTCTAAAAAAACGTTGCAGGTATTATAATATAAAATAGTAGCATTGACATGAACATCTTATGAACGGAAATTATTTACTTTCAGAAATTAAAAGGTCCGCTGGTGTCATTCGAACTATCACCTGATCGTAATCACGTGCTCATAGGTCATCACGCAAAAAAAGTAATGCTTATACAGTTATACGACCGAAATAGTAAACAATTAACATTTCTAATCATCCATTTCCTAACAGTTGTTCAGGTATTCAAAAACGGCTCGTTATACGGTATACACTGTGTCAACCAAGTTAGTATCATTCAAATAGCGGTTAAACACTTTTTAAATTTACAAATACTTGTTGGATAAAATATTATTATTTACAGTAGAGGCCAAAGGTTTTTAAATTTTTAAGGCGACACACCCTAATACACGCAGTATAAAAACAATGTGTTTGGGCAAGTTCCTTAAACAGTGTTTGAGAGAATATGATAGGTACAATACAAAATATAAAAGATTATAATAAAGATTAAAACCAAATATTATAATGTATATTATTATATCAACCTAAACATAATAATTATGGCACGAATATCAATAATTGGGCAAACATAAGAAACTTGAACTCGTTACTGGAAATTATTACATGTAATGTTCCAAATAATATGGATCTTAAAATTGAAAACATTTTTACTAAAAAACGAAATAAACTTTACATTTTAATGGGCCTGAAATGTATAAAAATATAGGGAGGTACCAATTAAGAATCATACCAAGAGGGTGGCACATTTTAAAGAGCAGCACATGTTTAAATATGCGCGTTTAATTGGGGTGACGTATTATTACTTAACCTTGATGGCAATGAAACTTGAAAGTTGCCAGCTCCTATATGTACCTACTTAATATAATTTTAAATTGAATAAGTAAGCCATCTAGGTACAAAAAATACTACAGTGATTTAAATTTTAAATGGGTGTTTATTTTGTATTATTAACATTTATGTTAAAATTAAATTTCTCACCAAATAATCCTAGATTTAATTTGTGTTTTATTTTTATAAATATCTAATAAAAACAAAAAATTGGTTAACCTTAACACACACACACTGGATAAAAAAACTTGTTGCAAGTTTAAATTATTTTTTTAAGGCCACATTTAGTTTATTTGAAAACATAATTTATCAAGTGTATTCAATTTTAATTCATGAAAGAAAATATGATTATCATGGTTAATTTTTGTAGGCAAATGACTCCCATAACGTTGGAAGATCATCGAAATTACCAAAACGTAACCACCTCAGCTGATCTACAGCCGTATTTCCTACACGCTCAGTGGCACAAGATTTCCACTGCGACCGAGGAAAACGTCGAGCCCATGGCGTTGATCGTCGTGTATCGATACGATGTGTACTACGTTCCGTGGTCGATGAAATTGACACCTACCCCGGGTACCAACATTGGGAAAAACAACGTCACAGTAGATCTTCAGACTTCAAACGTCACTAACTCCTTGAACACGAATCTTTCCAATCCTTCACTAAACGATAAACAAGTAAATGGTGGTGACAGCAATGACACCAACACATCTCAAAAATTGACATGGGCCCCATGGCCTTACGGCCCAGTTCGTCGAATTACCACTTCCGGGTTCGGTTCATCGGGTACCGCAGCAGGGGTCGTGAGCAACGGAGTAGCTGACTATCTATATGAAAGTAAGATATTCTACTTGAAATATTTTTGAAAATATCAAATAAATATTGAATACATACATTTGTATCGGTATAGTGGAGATATTGAAAAGGTCCCCAGCTATATGGCCATCATCCGGGCGGTATCTAATGTACGCAACGTTTGATGATCGACGGGTCGGAGAATATAAGTATTCAGTTTACACAAAGGGCGGGCGGCAACGTAATAACGTCGATGAGGGTGATACAGAAAAACATTCCAGGCAGCGAAAACCAAAACGACGCAGGAGGCGTTCAAGGCGAAATTCAAAACCTGAGGAATCATCAAGTATGCCAGAAGATGACAGCACATCTGAATATTATTTATATCCCCATATACGCACTCTTAAATACCCAAAGGTAAGTTGTAAGTTTTCGGAAAAAGACTGGAAATAAATTAGTAAATAATATAATAATTAATAAACATAAATGTTGTGAAACAGGCAAACACACCAAATCCCGCTGTCACTTTATCGGTGATCGTAAATCTCGATCAACTAGAAAATCCACAAATACAACCAAAAATACGCACTTTGACACCACCACCAATTTTTCAATATACCGAGTGAGTGGTGGTGCACACATAAACAGTTGAGCAGTAATAATAAATTATTTATTTATTAATTTCGTACAAAACAGCGATTACTATTTCACGGCGGTTCAATGGGTGAACGACGGAGGTGTCGGAGGTGGAGGTGGAAGTCACGAGATCGACGATGACAAATCGGGTGCTTCGGCAGCCGAGGTATGTGTCGTATGGCTGAACCGGGCGCAAAACACGAGCGTGACGACGCTCTGCAAATCACCTATGTGGATGTGTCAGGAAGTACGTGAATTAATATCTAGTCGTAAATCTATATCATTATTGTTGTACATACTATTTGTATAGTATTTATAAGAGAATACGTTTTTTGTGTTACAGACCCAAGTGATTAACGCAGTAGGAGCTGTTGGCGGTGGTAGTGGCATAAGAGGAGGACAAGGAAGTGAGACGTTTAACAGTGATCACGCTCGTCGTCGGTACAGGCGCAATGGCGGAGGGTCACAGAAAACATCACATGAAGCGGTCCATGGAGTGAAAAACAACAGTATCAAAACAAATTCATCCCACCAAGAAGACCGCCGCCGCCGCCGCCGTCAGCCGCACCAGCACGGCCCACATAAACATGGCAGTCAACATCAGCATAACGGCCACCACAGCCGTCGCCGACGAGATGGATACGTGAACTCTGGTAACTACGAAGTACCAAGAGGACGATATGGTGGTTGGGTGGATGCCACTGTCGGTGGGGCTGGTGGTGGGGTTCCATCGACCGGAGGTGGTGTCAGCGATGGCAGCTACCGTATGATCTCGGCCACCACTTCATGGTCTGGTGGACCCAATATCAACGACGGGGGAGAAAACTTCGTAGGTGACGACGGATATGCGGGAATTGCTGGTTTTGGTAGCACTGGAACTGGCGCTGTGTATGCAATGGCTTCTTTGGTTCGTAAGGGATGGGAGACGGGTGACAAGGAACTGACACCCAGAGCGCCGGTGTTTGCGATGGATGGTCAGGGATATGTTAGTGTGGCACCGGTACGTGATGACGAACACGATGACAACGAAGACCAAGACAGCGAAGGAGGGGTGCGTCTTCGACGACCGACCATAAAACAACACACGCAGTCGTCACGAAATGCCAAAAGCCGGCCACAGTCGTCAATCGGAAAGTATTATGCACAAGTTGTAGCTGTAAATATAACGAAGAAACTGTTAGCACCACTAACGTTTGGTGAATTTGACGACGATAACGACAACGACGGCGGCAAAGAAGACAAAAAAAAAAACAAAGTTGTTACTAAAAGTTGGACGGTAGTCAGGATTTTGGCATGGGACCAGCGGACTGATATGATGTAAGTCGTTAATCATATTTACTCGTGAATTATTAATTTATGCGGTTTATAAGCCTTATAGGGCAGTTCTAAAAATAAATTAGTTGTATTCAGTCAATATATTGTACAGTGAATACAGTAAATAACCTTGACAAAATATTTCCTGGAAATTATGAAATGTAGTGAAATCTGTTCATATATCTTGCGTACTTATTCGATTTAATAGGTTTTAATGTATTTTCAATAATACTTATTTTAAAAAGGAATACGATAAAAATTAAGTTAGTATCACATATTTTTATAAATTAAAAATCAATAAATATAACCAATATAAATATTATTAACGTTTACAAGCAAATTAATTTTATAATATCAGCCATCAACTATTTTATTATTTCTTTTTTTTTCCATCACATGTTGTAGTTACTTTCTTGCCGTACCATCTGGTCGAGGTGCACCACACCACCGTCATTTGTACGCAGTCAAGTTTACATCTGCAGCATCATCATCTACAATAAACACCGATGCTGGTTACCGAATGGGGCACCATCACCAACAACAGTTCCGTAAAACTTACCGCCATAGCAATCGTAGCAGGCCAGTGTGCCTAAGCTGCGATATAGGTTTTACCGGCAACGCAAGGCGTCGGGAGCGTCGTGAATTTGGTGGAAAACAGAACCGAATGGACGAGGCGCGAGATGGCCGGTTGAGGCAACAACAACGGGAACGGTGGGAAAATCTAAAAGAAGAGGAAGAAGACAATGAAGAGGAAGCTGCCACCGCGGAAGGTAATAAATTCTCCCATAGATAATATAAAGTTAAATGTTAATTAATCGGATAACATATATATAATTTATGATTCCTGTGCAGAAGCAGAACGCCGTCAGCAGCGAAATCGTCGACAACAGCAACGAGAAATGCAGAATCGTGGTATGTTAAGACACTGCACATACTTCGATGCCCAGTTCTCTAGGGATGGTAGCCATTATGCTTTGATGTGTCTGGGCCCTTCAGTTCCGTATGTTACATTGCATAGAATTATATTAGATGAGATTGACAATGCCGAAGATAATAGTGATGGTAGTGGCAGTAGTGATGAACCGGAAAGCGTTCCACTTACTGCACAGAAAATACCTAAAGATTCTTCCTACTCCTTTGAGTTAATTGCTCTTATAGAGAATAACACTCGTCTACAGGTAATGTTTAAAGACTATTTTACTAGGCAGTATATTAACCAATGTAACATTTGTCAATGATTTTCCAGGACAAGTACACAAATCGAGTTTTGCTACCAGGTACCAGAACTTTTCAGTTAAGACTTTCCGGTGGTCGTAAACTAACTACTTCAGGGGGCTTACATTTTAATGACCCTCTTGCAGCAGCTGATTATTATAGTAATGGTGGCGACCACCAGCAACATTTTTCTACTAAAAAACGTCCAGATTCAGATCCCCTGACCGTGGCACAGGTCCGATTGTATCTTCCATTAGGCGTTTACGATCCTGAGGCTGATCCTCGCCCAGAATTCATGTCAAATCATATTAGGAATTCTGGAAGCTCTGATAGAGTTGATATTACTAATGCTGAAGTAACTGCTAAACCCACAGACAGCTCTTCGACCAAACACAACCATCGGCTTCGACGACGATCGTCATCATCTGTATCTTCCACACATGATAGCAGTGATGATAATGGAGATGGATCAAAACGACAACGAAGACCACGCAAAAAACAACGTCAACATCGTTTGAAAAAGTTATATCCAATGCTTGTGGTAGTTAACTCAGACCCAGGATCACAGGCTATCACTGATCGATTTACTGATCGATTAGGTTATACAACAGGATTACTATGCTCAGGTTCATTGGGTAGAACGCTACCAAGTGCTAATGGTAGAAGTTCAGCAGGCTCAAGATATAGTGGGAATGAATGGGGTCGTCAGCGGCAGAGAGGTCGTCGGGATCGTCGGTCTTCAGCGACTAGATATTATTCTTCTGGACATTCAGACGACTACGATGACGACTCTTATGACTACGATCAAAATAATGACGACGATACGAATAATAATGAGTACGTAGTGGCCGTGATAGATACAGGGCGAGGGACATGGGCTCGAGGTTATGAGTCGTTATTGGCCTTAAATTATGGAGATGGTAATGATGGATATGGAGATGATAGCAGAGAAGACGATGTTAGGCCAGGTGGACTCCTTGGTACTGCTGACCTTCGTGATCAATTAGAAGCAGTTGAGTACCTGCTTTCAAGCTCTACGGCTACCAGCGATAGTTTTAAAGACAATGGTCAGGGGTATTACAGTGAAGATCGCCCAAGAGGTAGTGGTAGTCGCGACCGTTCTAGATGGTTCTCATCGACTTCACAATCTAATAGAAGGTACTATAGCGATGATGATGACTACTATGATGATAACGAAGAATATGATGACAACAACGACAAAAATGACAACGAAGATTACTACTATTATTACTACAGCAATGACGGAGATAATGGTGACTATAGTGATGATAACCGAGGAGATAATTTTTACAGGGATAGCGATGCTAAGAGAAGTCGTAGAGACCGCAGAAGTGCCAGTGACACAAAACCAAACACTGAGGCACTACGGTTGCCATACGTAGATGCAAGTAAAGTGGCGTTATTGGGCGGCGGACCAACATCGCCTTCAACTCCACCGTCAGTCTATGGTGGATATGCCGCTGCTCGGATGGCTTTATGGCAAACCATTTATGGTGGTGCGCCAATTGAGAAAAGAAGTGACGAATCTGGTGACAAAGGAAATAGAAAGGAGCCTGTGGCAATTCGCTCTTCGTTCAAGTGTGCTATAACTATGGCACCTGTGTGTTCGTGGCGACTATATGGTGAGTATATTATATATATTATGTACATTAATGGTTTTTGGGTGGTGTGTTGTATTAACGATCTCAATGGTGTGTTGTAGCTTCTGCATTTGCCGAACGTTACTATGGCTATTATGGTGAAAATGATAGAGATAACTGGATGTCATATGATCGTTCAGACTTAATACCATTAACACCTTCATTAAACGAGTCTTCGTTGTCACCGTCTTCAACTGGAAAAGGAATAAACTTATTGGTGATGCATGGCACTGCGGACACTACAATACATCCACAGAACTCGATGATGCTAGTTCGAGGAGTCATGCAACAACAACAGCAAAAATTCGTACCTACTGGATTTGTCAGTAGTGCTGGACGCCGAAATAATAATTTGACAGGATCTGGAGGACGAGTCACTGGGGGGTTTCCTACACGCGTTGGAGCTATTAGAATATCACAACTAGTCATGCCAGACGCAGACTTGAGTAATTCGAGAATGGCAACAGACATAGAAAATGGTTATCCTATAGACAACCACCACCAACTTCTTCACTCGATTTTCGGCCATGTCTCACAATATCTGGCTTCAGAGTGTTTCACAAGTGTAGGTGATGGAAACCGAGGCCGAGGCATTAGGACACGTGGCCGGCGTTTACGAAAACGGAGGAGAAGGAGATGGAGGACCGGTAACCGAGACCAAGAAAAATCAGAGGACCAACAACAGCAGAAACGGGAGGAAGAACACCAACAGCACCAGCAAAATCAGCTCAGTGACAAAAGTAATTCCGATAGTAGCAATGAAAACGGCAGTGGTGGTGATCGAAGTTCCGGTGGTAGATACCGTCGACACAATATTGATAGCAATCAGCCAAACTCGGAAGGCAGTATCAAGAATGACATAGAAGAAGTAAAAATTAAGGTTAACGGCGTTTATAATGATAATATTAAAAAAAATATCAGTTGGCTTAACAACATGGGAAATTTTACCATTCCTAATAACAGTAATAACAGGAATAACAATGCCAATAAGAGAAGAGAAAGAGATGACGATGAAGCTGAGGAATTCGATGAAGAAGATGATGATGGTGAGGACAGCGAAAACGAATACTATGACGGAGAAGATAATGACGAAGAAGACGGAGATGGTGAAGATGGAGATAATGATGATGATGAGTAAGTTTTTCGGCAGAGCGGCAGTAGTAACATCATTTTTGATGTAATTTCTGTTGCTGCTGCTGATTGTTGAACTAATAGTCAGTCAAATAGTGAAAATATAATAAGAGAAAGAGTGAGTAATTAAGAAAGAGTAGTAATAATTTTATTAGTTTGATTAAAATATTAAATATTCTTTAAAGGTATTTAAATTTTGAATTTATATTGCGTTGATAAATCGAGTTTATGTAAATCAACAACAATCAATCAAAAGTGAACAAATACAAAGACTTATTTTAGACAGACTAATGTCTCAAAAGGCTATTAATTATTGTTACTATTATAATTTTTTGTTGGTATTAAATTATAAATTTAAATAAAACGAATTTAGTGTACAATAGCATTAGTAGTTTATACTTTATATTATGTAAAATCTATGTTTTACAACTTTATATTTAAACTTGAATCACCACATTTTGATCATAAATGTTTAGCCATGCACTTCTCTAATATGTCATTATTCAGAAGAAATAGTAAGGTTAGGTTAAGTTAGGGTTTATAACCTGAAGTGACAGCTCTTGGATTAGGTTCATTAGTGATTTTATTTTCAACATTACTATGAGAGGGGAGTTTTTCAATAATTAAAGTCATGCTTTTTTAGTTTTTTTTAATCCAAATTAAAAACTAGAAGTTTCTTTAAAAAAAAAAATATTCTAACGTTATTAATTTATTATAACTTAAAACCCCACTCATTTTTATAAAGTGAAAAAATATGTATAATTTGGTTAAGAACATATAATGTTTCACTATAGGTATTTTATAATTAAAGAACTATCATATTTTTAAGACAGTATCACCCATTTCTTCGATATTTATTAAACAAAGTTTTATCATTTAGTACTTTTATACTCATTAATAGTTTTATGTTTATTATTGTAACTGTGTAAAGAATGTTCTGATCTCTATTTTTATATCAAGCGTGTTACTACCTATTTAGTCTTGACTCTTGATATATGATTTAACTCTTAGGTACCCTTGATTATCAACAAGTCATTATTTGGCAACATGATGATGAGCGGAGACCAGCTCGTGGATTTCATGGAGCTATCATTATTAAATATTGTATTTTTAGGTTAACCTTATAACACTACTTTTAATAGTATACATCAAGCATACCACATCAAGTATACCACCAACCCATTAGAAAAAATCTTACCATTGTATTTTAAACATCTCTTAAAAAAAATATCTAAAAATAATTTTTCAATCCCCAGAAAAATCTTTTGAAGATTTCGTTAGTGATATTGAAACTCTTTGACTATAACATTTCACCATGGATATTACAATAGTCAATTTATATTATTTGGTTGACAACGTAATTTATCATATATTTAATAGATGAGTTTTATATATATAAGAATTACATTCTAAAATGACTTGATAATTTAATATTTATACTCTATTAAGGAAAAATTAAATTTTAGTTTTCTCTATCTTCATTGGTATTTTTAACACCACTTAATATATTTAAAATTCAAAATCATATCTATTATAACTGTTGTTACTATTACAATATTTTATTATCAATCATAAGTGTTAGTTATTATTATTATTATTATTATTATTATTATAACATTTTTACCTATATGTATCATATATATGTAAGGCGATATAAAAAATGTAGCAAATAACGAAGAAACCCATTTACTTTATAGTTTATACATCCAGGAGAATAATTAATTAATATCACTTAACGCAATATGAATGGAAATGCACAAAGTGTCAAGCACACATTAATCTAATAAACTTCTTTATAATTTATATATTACACTAATGTTTTTATTACATTTTATAAATCATTTTTACCTTTTGAAATATTGATAGATACCTACATATTCAAAATTGGATTTCGTTGTAGTTTGCAACATTTATAATACAAAATTGTGTAACCATTACGATATTAATTAAATTGATATTAATTAGAGTTTGTCACACTGAAACATTTTACCACCGTCTATTACATATTTTATTTTAATTTTATTTATTTACTTATTTATTGAATCAAAGTACTTTTTATATTAATAATAACTTTAGATAGTTACCTTTAAAGCTTCATAATTTCTTACTACCTACATAATATTATCGTTTTTAAAATTAATTTATCTTATAGTTGACCTGTATTTTTCTTCTCAAGTTATTATTATTGTTATTGTGTTAACTTTGTTTTTATTTTTTATCATATATATATTATAATAGCCATACTTATATGAAGCGTATATTTTTCTGCATCAATGTGACTCTATGTTGGTACATTATTACAAACATATAGAATACACAACTATAATTATTATATTACATCATATAATTATTATCACTGTTATTGTATAGAAGAACTCTAAAAAATATATTATACCAAACTTGAATAATAAAGAGTGTAATTGCATTTAGTTATTGTCCATTAACTACCTATACCTACCTACAATCATGTACTCACATAGTCACATACTACATACCCACCGAATATACAAACACAGATTTCTATATATTACTACTATAACTTCCTCTATCAGTTAGTGTCTGGTTTGCATTGTATGGTATTTTATATGGTGAATATTAATTATGTTGTATTTTTTGTATTATTAATAATTCTGTTAGTTATAAAAAAAAAAATATTTTACATATTTTAATCATTTTACAATTATTATTATTATTATTATTATTTTTTTTTTTTTCATTAGGGGGAACCCGCTGCAACCTAGACCATTGGGTGTGGAGTTGTACAGTGGGGAGATTCTTGAATAGGTTTAGTAGGTTTTTATGTTGGTAGGATTGTAACATGTGTTTGTGTATGTGTGGCAAGGATGTATTACTAAAAACTTGAATGGTCACCCATCTGGGAGCTAACAATGTTGGCCAGTACGCACATTCAGGGAGTTTCCAAAGCTTACGACCGTGCCTCACCAAGCCTCAATGATTATTTTATTTTATCAATAAGATATGTTATTTCTAATACATTTTGTATAATGAATGAAATGTTTTGCCACTAGCAATATGGCGGACATGTGATAAGCGCACTATATTATAATACATATTATTATAGTCAGTCTGGCTTCACTATTCCTTATGCGTAACGCTGCCTTGTCATTGAGAAGGTTGCTGCAATAGATAAATAGTTAAATTTGAATTCTAAATGATAAATCATTGCATTTAAAACGATTTTGAGAGAAGACAAATTTTTATGAGGACATTTTATTACATGTTCATACTGCTACAGGTATATGAATTATTTTTCTATTATTTTATTTTATAATACACATTTATCAAACAATAATATGATACTGTTATTAATTATTAATGACACCTATATAAAAAAAATTAAACTTATAAGAAAGAATTTCATAAACCCCTATAAAATGCTAAAAAATTATTTAATAATAACTGTAATTATAGAATATAAATTCACTACTGATCACTCAACACTCAAATAAAATCACCAGTATGTACAACACTAAACCCTATTAGAAAGAAAATATTGTCAAAAATAACAGATTCTGAAACTTATTGATGTCATGATATCACAATTTTAAACATAAATTATAACATAATTTATCTACATCATTATACCAAATATTGAAATATTCTTTTTAAAACAAAATAAATTTTTACCATGAATATTTTAATATTTGATTTTCTTACATAGGTACCAACATTAAAATAAACCTCTAGCCCCCTCCCCCCTCCTTTCTTTCCTACAGTAAATATACCACTCGATGAATTTGTAAATTTTATAAATCTAAAAAAATAAATTAAGGAACGATAAGTAAAATAAATATTTTTATAATTTTAGATATAAAAATATTACCCCAAGTTTCCTTAACCATTTCTTGTGTCTTAGAATTAATATTTTTATTAAATTAAAGAGCTTCATAAGTACCTAGGGGTAAAGAACAATGAAAAAGCTAATAACCACAAAGAAATTAAAAAACAACTTATGATAGCAAATAGAGATGCCTCATTCAAATCAATTAAGTCCAAAATTACGATATACAAAACCATAGTTAAACCAATTGTTCTGTATGCATGTAGTAGGTACATGAGGCATGACTTAATCAGGTGAAAAAAAGACAGAAGTGTTTGAAAGGAAGATATTAAAGAAAATCTATGGATGTAAAAGAAATAAAGATGGAGAGTATATAATGAGAAACAATGAAGAATCGAATAAACTGTATAAAGAGCATACCATTATCGGAACCCTAAAAAATACAAAGACAAGTTGTGTAGGTTAGGTTCATGTGTGGAGATAGGAGAGAATGATTGGATTAATAACTCATTGGAAATCCAACACTAAGATACCTAGAGGACGGCCAATACACAGATAGAGAGACGGAATACAGAAAAGCTTAAAAACTTCTGAATGTAAAGAACTCAGAAGAAAGTGCGAAAAATAGAGGGATGGAAACAATATGTTGTTGCGGTGATGGACCTTAGAGACTTGTCAAAACCTAGAAAAATATTGCCGGTTTTGTAAAGGACAAAAAAACTTTTGTTAAATGTCAGGTGGTTAGTAGGAATATTGGTATTTTGTGGGGATACGGAACCTAAATGGAAGAAATAATTGTATTTTTGATGTCCTCAGTAGTCAAACAACAGTGGAATTATTACACATTTGTTATTGTCTAAATGTGTTTAATATTTGGAGTTTTATAAATATATCACATACATATCTTTTTATGAGAAAATAAAAAACAGAGTTGGGCATATTTCCAGCCATAAGATATTATTACATTATAGTATTATACCCATTAGGCGATTTAAAATGAATTAATCATTCTCTTTCTCAAAATATTCATTGTTTTAATTATTGTGGAAATTTTCAAAAAGTAACATATGTTATGAATTCTAAGCATGTAACTGTATTTTATGTTCACCTTTTGTATCCAGCTGTCACCACAACATCTATTTATATAGTTAGTAAATTACTAGGTACTTCCATTAATTTTGAAGACTTCAATGTTTAAAATAAATTAACCAAAAAAATAATGAAAGCCATCATTCTTACAAATGAATATATGTGTTATATTTACAATGTATCAAAAGATAAATTTGACATTAAATAATTTTTTAGAATGACATTTTCACATTTTTCCAAGACTAGATATTATTTTGTATTCCACATTTTAGAAATGATTAAATAATTAACTTATGGTAAGCATAATATGAGCACATAGTATTTTTAAATTTTTTTAGCAGTGCTTAGTTTTAATTTCAAATGTGAACACAACTATCATATTTAAATCATCTATAGTATCACCTCATGTAATCCGTTTTCATTTGACTAAGTAATTATATAATTGACTGAGTCATTTTTAGGCCTATAACTAAGTATAAAAACTTAATATTTAAGCATATTCTACATTAAGTCGACAGTTTAAATTTCCCATTAATAACACTAATTAGTCATTGTGTTAGTAAATAAAATATTTTTTATAAATTCTTATTAAATTAAAAAATATTAAATATCAACAATTTATTTATTTTTTTATAATAATTTAAATGTTAAATGAATTAACCATATTTTAAAACTAATACTTGGTCTCATACACTTCATTTCTAAGTTAACGGAAAACATGATGTATCAAAATTAATTAAATATTAAGCTGTGTTCTCATTTGTCATTAAAATATTTTTAAAAAAATTGTTTTTGAGCACATGCGCATATAACAAAATCTAAATTATTTCCAAAATGTGAACTACTTAAGGAAAAAATTATATTTTAAATTGAACATTCCTCAAAAATATTTAAAAAATCACTTTTATCTTTGGACATACTGTAAATATATTATTACATATATTTTATTTATTACTTTAATTACAAAATTATAACATTATATAATACAGTTTATACATAGATTTTTCAAAAGGCACGTAACATCAAAAATATTTTTCCAGATCATTGTATTTTCAATAAATAATGCTTATTCTTAAATTGAAGGTAAATTATTATCTTAGTTTAAAAATAAATTCGTAAAAAAGTTTGTAAGTAGCTATTTGCTGTTTTTTAAACTTTAATTTTTGATGTGAACCCAATACCATTTGGAGGTTGCTGCTGGTGAGTACTACAATAATTATTAGGCACAGTTGTGTCATAAGTGACACTGGTAGTAGTTGCTATAGGCACTGTGGCAGGTATGGAATCTGAGCTAGAGCTTGTTGAGTGTTGGTTATAGATTTCTGATAGACCGCCCCAACGCAGGCGATATTGCCGTGTGGTCCATGTAACAACAGATGGGCGCCATAAGAGTGCTGTTAAAAACAGGTATGGTCCCATGAACTCTCTATACAACCAAGCAACTAAGTACTCAAATTTTGTAAACGGCAAAGGCCCATTCTGGAATTTAAAATACAAACAAATGGTAAATTTTTTACAGCTAATAAGTGTAATAAGTATAGTTTATTTTTAAATAGCAGTCAGTTTCAATTATATTAAAATATAAGATTGTACTTTTTTAAAATACATAGTTTGCACTTATTTTAACATTTTAAGATTTATATAATATTATATTCAGATAAAAAAACTAATTAAATAAATTACATTACTTCAATCACATCTGATATTTAAATTTAAGATAGGTTAGACATAAGTATTTAGTATCAATTATTCATTTTTGATAAATTTAATATTTAAATTCCACTGATATAGTGTAGTAGGCTCCTACTCAATTATTAAAGGTAACAAACTAACAACAAACATTGACTTTTTTCAATTAATTAAGGTAACTTAATTGTGTTTTATCGTTTTCAATTTCAATTTCTTCTTTTTTTTTTACATTTTTACATGTTATACTTGCCTTCTTTAATAGAAGACCGGTATCAATGGGACAGTCAATGATCAAAACTCACAGTAAAAAATGTTAACAAATATTAAGTACATTGATAATATTTATAGATAGAAAAATTCAAAATTAAATACGTTTTAAGTCAAAGCTAAAAAAAACATTAAGATGTGCTATCTTAAGCAATGGTTTCTTTAGACATGCAACTTTTTTATTAAGAGAATAAATGTTTTACAGTTAATTAGAACTTACAAATGATTTTTGATTATGATCTTTTTGAACAGCATTTAGCCATTACAATATTCAATAATATAAATTTAATATTAAAAATGAATAGAATACTTAGGCTAATTTGTGGATCATTAAAAATATATTTGTATAGTCTATATAACCTGTATTGGAATTTCTGAAGTGAATCATTAATTGAAATATTTTATCAAAATAAAAATTATTTTTACACATTTATCAAAACATATTGTAACATACAAATTAGTTAAAGTTTCTTAAATTTGACAAATTATTTTGAAAAACCTTCAGTTTTGCCTAACATTCAAAAGATACAGTATGCAATTTTGTATTTAAGATAAAAAAATATATATTAAAAATGTAGCATACCTGCATCACATTTAAAAGAATCCAATCTAATAAGAACCAAACAAGCACATGTATCATATAGAACGCATAAGGATCAATTGAACCGCCAGAAAGTGTATTAGCAGCCCATGCAGCACATGCGCCTAGTATCAGACATTCAGATAATGGTTCCAACACAATTGTGTGAGGCACCATAGCTATCCTAAGTTTGACCCACCTGCAATAAATTAATGTAGGTATAAGTACTTATTCAGGAAATCTACATTAAAAAAAATTAATATAACACTTAAGCATTTATTAAATTAAAATAACCAGTATCTATAATATATTACCTTCTAAGACGATCTTGAAATTTACTTAGTTCACTTCCTCCATTATTTTGTAATGCAGGCCGGCTACTTACAGTAGTGCGCCAACCTCGGGCAACTACCAATTTGGCCATAAAATAATCTTCAGCAAGATAACCGGCAAATGCTTGCAAGCCACCACATTCATCCATTGCTTGCTTGCGCAATAGTGTTGACATACCTGTATGGCATATAGCTCCTACAAGATCAGCCATTAAATACACTCTTGCATGAGCAGTTCCAAAAAATACCTTAACACAAAAAAAAAAATCATATTATAAATTATAATACATTAATTAAAATGTCTTAAAATAGACTGCTGTGCTGTTCAGTAGTACTTTAATACTAAGATTGATAGAACATAAATACATGACACACAAGCTGATAGATGAATTCTAATATACAATATTCATTTTGTCGGTGAAGAAGCATGATTGTATAGGTATCATTCATAAAGATAAATTGGTGACTTTGTGAGTAGGTTAACCACCTAGGTTAGTGGGATGGCTGGACGCCCGGCTCAGACAGTCAAGAGAGTCAACTCTTTCAGATAAACTAAAAAATTTCAAGATTTAACGACTCTGTTTGACCAACCAAAGTTAGGCAATTCAATATTACGTTTGAGTTGAAAATTCAAATTATTAATCAATAGCCATTATATATTCAACATTACATGATATGTTGACTATGTGTCCCCTATACCCTACCAGGGGTTGTCTAGGCCCAACATTGTTAAAAACAGATAGACAATAGTCAATACCTGTTGCATAATATTATAAGAGCAAATAAAATCTCACAAACTCAATGGGTATGTATCGTGGTAATCTCCATTTGTTATGGTTATTTCAACCTAGAGCTAGAACACTGCAGACCGTTCTTAGTGTTCTTACAATGTTCGGTTAAAGTCAACAGCAGAATTCTGTAGGTAATAAAATCGGTTATTAGCTGGTCAGTGTTAACTGACACTTAACCGGACATTTTAAGAACCAGCCAGAGTGTTTTTGGCCAAATCCTGTAATTGTGGTCTAGAAAAACAGACAAATTGGCTGTTATTCCGGAGACGTAGCATTGTTATCACCACAGACCTTATACTGCATAGGTTATGGTTACTCTAAAAGTGGATTCACACCCCATCGTGTAGTGTAGTGCAGTGGTGTGCAAACCTAAGGGGATAACAAAATGTTAGTAGAGGGGTCGCCAATAATTTTACACCGAATGAAAAATCAAACCAAACATAAAAACAATCATGTCTACAATGCAAGCTGAGGTTTCTCATTAAAATAATTTATTAGTAATTTTATAATTTAAAAAATATTAAAATGTTGATTATCATTATAATAATTTCAGTAGCTTTTTAATTTTAGATTTGATTTAACTCTAATTTTGTATTTTTTTTTATGCTCTGAATTGATTAAATTACAGAAATATTAAAATTAATGATTTAATTTATATAAATAATATGTTTGTATACATTAAGACTATGAAGTAAATATATATTATACACTTACATAATGTTGGTACAAAGGGGGGGAGGGGTCGTGTTACCAAAATAAATAATTTTGAGGGATTGTGGATCAAAAAAGGTTGCGCACCACTGGTACAGTAACAAAATGCTAAAAAAATGCAAAATATCTGGATAGCAGTGAACTCTAGCAGCAAACTAAAAAATAGTCTGGTTGCATGTCGATAGTTTCGAAAATTTCACACATGTAGCGCTCATTAGATACTCATTCGTATGAAGCAACTACAACTGTGTATAACAAATTACAAAACTCTCCAATTAAAATATGTTTTTGTTTTTGCTGCACATTATATGCCAATCTTTATCATATTACGGATACGGTTTCATGTCGGGTGACTATGGCCTGGCCTGGCAGTAATTTCAAGTTGGTGCAGATTTTATATTATAGGCCATTTTATATTTTTTTCGATGGTTCAGACTTCATTACAAAAACACAGGTGAACAGGAACTCAATAAGCTGATCAAGTGTCGCTGCTAAATTGCCCTGTGCCAATATATGCCCCAATACTTAATATTCTTAGGATAGAACTCGATCAAGTGTCATTTCTAAACTGTTCAGAACAGTCTGTTCTGTGGTGATATAGATGGGCCAAGTTGTATGCTATCCTTTTTTTTAACAATGTTGCCATAAATTTAACTCTTTTCATTCAATCAAGAAATCCGTTAGGTCAAACCGTTGAGCTTTTTTTCACACCAGTTTGGGCAAACAAAATTCTTACATCTTTATATCTATAACATTGGCATAAATCCATTTTAATATTTTTCCATAGTCGGGTATTAACTATTCACTATTAATGTACCATAATCATGATACATTATATTATATTATCATATTATCACTAATAAAATATAATGTGTCAATAATTCAATACTACTAATCAATTGTTGATAAAAATGTACGACAAGTGTCAATCATTATTGATATCAATGGTTTCAAATGATTCAATTTTTGAATGAACTAATATTCATCAATTCTTCATAGGTAGTAGATACCTACTAAGTATTTAAGGGTAGCTAAATTTCTTTCAATAATTTGTTTCATTTCATCATGACTACAAGTAGGAATTTCAGCAAAATTTACCAAAATGACAGAATCTTTTTATAAAAAGAACATAAATAAAATAAAATATTATTTATACAATAGATGTATCCTCATGTAACAATTACACTAAAATATAAGTTTCAATAGTTGTGTATTATTAAAATATTTTTTTTTTCATTTTTGTTTTACTAATTATTTAGCTAACATTGAGAAATAATATGAGTTTATAAACAAAGGTATTACAAAAAAGTGTTTTTTTTTTAAATAATTTAAAAAGTCTTAGATTCACATTTTGTTTTGTTTTATAATAGTGAAGGATCAGATACTCTTGGGACTAATGGTTATTTATTAATGGTATTTTTTGATTTCCATGATAAATGCTAATGTGGATTTTTAACTTTTAACAAATCTCTGAACCTCCGTGTTAAAATTATTACTAATAGAAACATTGAGAGCATATTTTAAAATGACCAACAGTACTCTTAACTTTGTCCTTAACATCTTGTATATCTTTGAAGGTGTGTTGAACAGCCGAGTTCAATGAATGCTAAACACCCTTTACGTCTCATATTACATGAAACAATTGCTCTGATAATATCAAGGCATTATCTTTAATAGTACATGCTGCATATTTGAAAATCCCATTCAGCCCCATTAAAATATTCACTTGAGCAAGTATTTAAAACATGTTAATAAATATGTTTTAAGAGAAAACAATATGTTTACAGAAATCAATAAAATGAGAGTGGCAGCTTTTGTGTTTTACCAAATTCAATCAGTTGTCAATCAAACATAGCAAGCATAAGAATAAACGTGTTTTAATTTTGTCATACACTTCACTACACATCAGGAGAAGTGATTTGGTTATGGGTTTTCTAGACGATGAAGTACGACCTGGGTTCAAAATATTGTTTAGCCTTTATGCACTTTTTATCTTCTACAAAATATAATGGACAATATTCTTTTACAACCATTTTTAAAACTTATTGAGCGATAACTAGTACTTATCATGTTCCTACAGATTTCAGCATATAATTTCTAATCTAGCTAGATTGAATTCATCGTAATGCATATTTGTGAACAGAATTTTTATTAATTTCAATTAGAATTTACTTGGATTTTGAAATCAGTTAAATGTAATCTATATTTGGTTTTTAATCTTATGCAATAGGTTATGTTGTAAATATTATTTATTTATATTTTGTACAAAAAAAATTTTTGTAGTCATGCATTTCATGTTATATAATATTATATTACAAAATAAATACATGGATATGGAGGCAACAATTACAGGGCAACAATTTTGATCATTCTAAGTTGTTGATGTTGGCAACTAGCTGTGATAAGAGGTAAAGGTATCTATGTATGTATGCATATCTAAACAAAATTATTATTCAAATTCACTGACTTTTTATTTACATCATATTATTTGTATCAAAAACGTATGTAAAAGTAATAACTAATAAATTTAATTATTTGTGATAACATTTTTGGTGGGTAACGGCTCTGTAGTACAGTAGGTATTGGATTTGGTGACCAGTCAAAATATCTTCGAAATAATACCTTAGTCAAAATATCTCTGATCAAAATGTCTTTGAATAAAACATCTTTTATATTGATTTTTATCAGATCATTAGTTATTACATATTATGATCGATCGACATTTTATATTTTAATGCACATCATATTTTAACATAACACACAAATATATTTGGTACTTTACCGAGTATAATAAATATAAATACAGTTCGTGTTTTTCACCTAAGATGAAACAGGTAATTGTTTTATACAAATTTAATCATTTCACACTAGTAAAATTATCATTCACAAAGTATATTAATTCCTATACATAATAATATATTATAGGCATAATACTAAAAGAATCAAGTCTTTCACATGTTCCAAACGGTGTCAAAATTCAAGTTGGGGAAATTTTGGAAAAAATTAAAAATTATGCAAAAAGTAATCAAGTGTGTAAGGAATTTAATAAGTGAAGCTGTTACTACTGTACCAACTAGTAGTTGCTGCTCAATTGCCAAATCACTGATTTCTCGAAAACCGTCCATGGAGTGAGATCCAAAGCCCAAGTTTGTCCTCAAAATACCTCTCAAAACTATTCACTTCATGATAATCCAAAAGAAAAAAATAATTTTGATTTTTTTGACGATTAATAATTTAAAAATACCTAAAAATTGTAATATTCATATGGCAGGCGGGGCATGTTGGTCAGTTAAAAAATTGTTTTCACAATTTTATACCATACACATCTATTATAACCAAACAACTTATCCAGTTGTTTGCGTATTAATTACTGATTGTTCAAAACAATCCTATAAAGAATTTTCAAATGTTTTAAAAAAGTTTGAACCCGAGCAGTATTATGATTGACTTTCGAACAATCACATATATTAGCATTTAAACTATTCTAACTACGGTTATTCATTTTTAATTACAACAAAATAATAAAATTATTTGATGAGAAATTGTTATTTTATGTGCAAATATTCAATTTCATCAGTATTTAAAATTCAGGCGCTCCTGAAAAATATTTTTAAAACTTTTTTTTGTTTCATTATTAGGAAGTTATCAGGAACATGTATTACATTTTAAAATCTTTGTTATGGTTATTAAAATTTTCAAAAATGTTGAACTACAAAATATTTACATATTTTGTAACTATGATGAATTTTGTAAAAAAAAATTAGATTAAAAATATAATTATAAAAAAAAATGAATTTTCACTCAACTTTTTTTTATTCCAGTAATATAATAACAACTTCAGAGGAACCTTATACTACATTTTTAATCTTTTTGAACAAGCGTGCATTTAAAGAAAAATAAATACAAAAAAATGTCAAATGTCAAACGTTTATAAATACCCATGTAAATTATTTTGAAAATATACCTGATATAATATAGGAAATGGTAGTGTAATGTTTAGTGAAAATCAACTAAAAATGTGGTTGCTAGTTTTTGAATTAGGTCTAACAACATGTCAAAATCTGATTTTTTTCCCCTGAATATTAAGAAATGTACAGAGCATTTTAAACTTTCGACCCCCCCCCCCCCTTACATAATAATATCATGAAACAAAAAAAAGTCATACAAATAAATATATAAACCAGTCTTCATTGTAAAAACACTGGTTTATAGCTGTAAAAATACCACTAGGAATATTCTTCTAAGAATATTTTAAGTGAAATTAAATATTAAAACATAATATAATCAAAAATATGTAAAAAAAAATAAAAATAAATTTGACATGGAGTCCCGATAGATGTGTTAAATTGGAATTCAATGATAAAACAAAGTATGTGATGAACAACCAAATAATTATTTTTAATAATAATATTCAAAGTTTCATATTTATTTTTTAGTAATTACCAATTATTTTCAAAACACTGCAAAATTTTTTATTTTGACTTTCCATAAATACTAAATATACACAATTTGCTTCAAGAAACCTTCATCAAAGTTGATGAGCAATTATTCTACTACAAAAAGTGTCTTAGAACAAAAAATAAAATAAAGAAATACATATTGTGGTAAAATCAATACATTCGTCGCCCGCTCAAAATCTAAAAATGAAATCTTAAAAATGAAATGCTTATAAAGATAAATAGAATGATAAGTTGAATTTTCAACTTATTAATTCTGAACATATTGTTAATGTGTCAACACAAAGATAAATTCCAATCTGAAAAATATTGGATTTAAGTCAGCTTTTAAGCATTTGTTAATATAAAAAAACTTAAATTTTAACTTAAGCGAAATGGTAACAATAGAAAGATAGATTCATTTTAACCAGGGTAATAATGGGTAATACAACTAGGTAGTCTTATAGGTATACAATTATAGTTTATTAATATTTACATTAATGATAACATAGTATCATAAATCATGGTTACTTAAAATAAGTTACTAATGTTTAATGTAACGATAAAAATGCATAAAATATTCTTACAGATATTCCTTAAATTTATTGAATTTAAAGATGAGCTCTAGAGAGTTTGTTTCATACTCTTTTTCATTAAAATAATATGCAACTATTTAATTTTTAACAAAAACTATAGCCATTATTATAACAAAGTCATTATTGCTTGAAATATTAAATTAGGTTAGGTTCATTAAGCTACAAAACACACTTATTACCAAATCAAAATAATTGAAGAAAATAACTTAATTAAGCAAATAGCAATTATGTTTAGCGTTTTGTGGTTATTTTATTACTTTAAACTACCTACAAGTAGAGTAAATTAAAACAAATTTTAAAAGCAATTTAACAAAACTGCTATTATAAATTAACTAAAACTCTATTAAAAGTCAAATTCTTAAATATATGTATACATGTATATTGTATGTTTTGAAATTAACTGTCAATCTAATGAATTCTTTATTTTAAAACTAAATAAATCAGTCCAACATCCGTTACCTAGGTCTAACCCTAGACAAGCGACTCACCTGGACAGAACATATTAAAATCAAACGTAATACTCTTAAACTCAGAAGGAAATCACTACACTATTTGATAGGTAATCACTCCAAACTCAGACTCAATTCCAAACTGCTTATTTATAAACAACTTCTCATGCCGATATGGACTTATGGCGTACAACTGTGGGGTGCGGCTAAATTATCAAATTTAAACATGATACAAAGATTTCAATCGATCACCTTACGCATGATAACTAGGGCCCCCTTTTACGTATCCAACCACACACTCCACACAGACCTAAACATTAAAACTGTCTCAGAAATGGCATCAACTATACACAAACGTTATAGGTTACGACTAGAAAACCACCCCAACCCGCTAATCTCAGCACTAAACTCACAAACAATACCCGGGAATCCCCAAAGAAGGCTTAAGAGAAGATGGTGCCGTGACCTAAACTTTTAATCTCAAAACTTAAAAAAAAAAAAAAAAAATACATATGTATATATATAATATACATATATATCTAACATAAATAAATCATGAAAAGTGTAGCCGCTGGGTTACTTCTTTTATCAAGCAAATCATGTCTTCTTACTTATTTTAGCTCATATTCTTATTGTAAAACTAACTTACAGATTGTATATATTCAATAAAAAAACAAAAAAAATAAAAAAATAAATCAGTTTTATGAATCATACATTCAGCAAACTATGTAGAATGTTAAATTAAAACGGTTTATAAGTATTGTATGTTTCCTTATCATACGTAAGAAATACTTCCATTATAACATTTTTAAAGCTGCTCATGGCTATCAGAATTCAAAAATGTAAAATTATCAGTTTAATAAAAATCCTACAGATGGTAAATGTATTTAATAAGACTCACTTTTTCTAAGGTGGCGACAAAACGCCGCTGTTTGCGAGTTTGGTTTTGGTATTCTACTTTTCCATCTAATTTTAAAAATGATGAAGGATCTGCTGGATTATCTGACAAAGGTGAAGTCATAGGCTCCGTCCTATTGTCAATTCGATCACATGTGAATGGTACTTGATGTACAATTGCAACATCATCAGCCATATTATCAACCATATCACTAAGTGTATCTTTTTTCACTGAAAATAAAATAATTGATAAAATAAATAAAATACATGAGTTTCGATTTTTTTTTTTTTTTGATTTACTTCAACACTAAACTTCATAGTATTAATCAATTATTAGTAGATATAAAAACTACTTAGGAAAAACACTACTCATGTATTATGTAGGTTAAATAGCTAATAAATAACTAATAATCATGATTGATGATTTAGGAAACAAATAAAATAGCTGATAATAACTTGATGATTATATTGCATGATCGTAAATAAAATTATATTTATCATTTTTATACTTTTTATTGAACTATCCGATATGAGTATCAATGAATACTTGGCTGCTTGGTATGCTGCATGTACATTATTGATTTTTGGATTAACACCTACTTGAGAACCACCTATAAAACATAGTTAAAATTAAACACAATCTTAAATCTTTCCAATGATATAATGAAGAGTTTAAAAAAAATAATATTTTATAAAAATTAAAACAAAAAATTTAATTGAGCTTTTAAGAAACTACTTTGATGCAAATATATTCAAATACTTTAAATACCTAAAAATAGTCGAGCATCTACTGATGGATACATTTCCAATAGCCGATTAGCTACCATTGCAGCAGGATCATTTTGATCAACCACACATATTAGAACTTCATACTGTAAACGATTATAAAAAAAACTCTAAATTATACAAAAAGACTTACATCACTTAATAATAAAATATAATACTACCATTGGGTATTCCATTTGAAAGTATGAGCTTAAGTTGACAAATAGATTAGGATCAACGCCCAATAATGGTTTCAATATACTAACACCAGGATATTGTTTTTTGTTATTTCTCGGCAAACCATGTTCTAAAGACACTAGAGATGGTATCAACTGCACAGATGATTCTGGTTTGGGTTTTCTGTAGAGTTTGAACTTCCTATTAGTGAAAATATAATAAGATTAAAGGTTGTACTTTTTAACCGTGCAATGAAATTTGATGAAATAATGTAGCCATTGAAATACAAATATCAATTTAAATATATATGTATAATGTATAATAATTACCCATAACATATTGCACTTATGTGCACCAACCAATAACCGCACCAGAATATAAGTAGCCCGCAAGCCAATAGTATGTCATAATCGGCAAACATTGGGGGTGGTATCAGTTGCATCATTAGTTCTACCGCTTATCCTTGCTATTGTATCCATCTACAAGTTATATCCTCTTCGAGCACTGGAACACCTATGCACAACTTCACGTTCACATAACAATTTAAAAACACTGTGTAGCTGGTATGTGGTTTATCGGTATTGGGTGTATTATCGTCGTCGGCAATGGGTCACTACGGCACGAACAACACCGTTGGAATGCAACACACTTTGGCGGTAAACGGACGGTCGGTCGTTCGGCCGTCAGGCGGTCGCTGCTAGTTGTCGGCGAATGACAATCGAAATCTCTTCACGGAGCAACGAGTACAACAGCCAGCCGAAAACACATTTCGTACGGCAGCGGCGATTACGTAACATCTTTATTATCAGCTAATATGTTTTATCGAAAGGGCGAAACGTGTGCGGTGTCACTGGTAAGTGAGTAATGTAACATGACGCCTCATGTATGATGTACAATACTAATTATATATACATACGTACAGCATATCGTATGTACACTAGAGACTGAGTGAGCAATAATCGAACGATATTGTTGCATAATGCGTGCCTGTCGCCTGATAAGCATTACTCATTAATTATCATTATTACTATTACTATTGTTGTTATAAATTACACATCCGCGTGATAGTATCGAGTAGAGCACGGTGTTGGCGCTAAATAGATTAAAGATTCCAGTCACTGACAGCAGCTGCAGCTGCCGCAGCCTCGTATATACCATTCTGGTTGGCCGCTATCGCATACCAAAACTCTGATGATGTTCATAATAATAACAATATTGTTATTATTATTATTATTACTGTTATTATCACGTCAGGCGACCGAAGGTGATCGAATGATAACGTTGTATCCGGTGATCATCGTCATATTATTATCGATATCGTATAGTAGTAATCGTTATTTAATATTTATTATTAATATCGTTCGAAGACCCGTAGGCGTCGTACCAATAAATAAAACGTGCGATTCGCGTACCTACAGAAAAATTCGCTAAACGTATGTGAGCGTGTACTGAAAGCGTTGAATAATGCGCTCAAAAAACGCGCTTACACACTACGGGCCGCGTCGACGTGTGCTGTGAATCGATTTAATTAGGGAACTTGCGCGCGCGCGTAGGTGTATGTGTGTGTGTGTGTGTGTGTGTGTGTGTGTGTGTGTGTGTGTGTGTGTGNGGTGTATGTGTGTGTGTGTGTGTGTGTGTGTGTGTGTGTGTGTGTGTGTGTGTGTATGTGTGTGTGTGCAGTACACTATTATTATACACGCGATGCACGTGATTTGGGACGAAAATTAATCAAAAATCGACGTCGGCGTACCGGAACGAGGACGAATAATGTATATTATTATTATTACCGTCCGGCACGGCCAATTTCACAAAAAGCTTTGGTCCTTTATACTTTGCGTACCCAATTTACTATTTACGCGGACCGCGTGACTGCAGTAACGACTAACGATGGTATTCACTGGGTCATTACGATATATTATGTGGGCACTGGCCACAGGACAATATTTTAAAAACATATTTTAATAGGGAAATTCACCTGTGATCATCCAATGATACCAATGATACCATTGTTATTACCTACTTATTAATAATTTAACTACCCAGTGAGAAGCCAGGAGGATGTGGGAAGGCTACAGCCCCACCCCACCATTGACTATATTAAATTGTACGATTTTTTTAACAACCTATTCAAATTTAAAAACTTAAAGCTTAAAAACAATTTAACATAATATTGAGCATAATAAAATACGTTTTAAGTGTTTTAACATTTAAGATTAGATAAACCTTAGACATAATATTATCATTATCGCATTATTGAATGTCGTTAAATGTTTATCATTAGTTGAAATGTTATAAAACCCCGCAAGATATTTATTCACATACTCCGCGTATCTAAACTAGTTATAAGCTGTATAATTAATTAACTAGCTCCCAACTATAACTGTTAAACTAGTCACGTAGATACTCGTTCGATATTTGATTTCTATATTTTATAGGTAAACCATAATCTAAACTCAACAAAATATTCAGCTCGAGAATGTGAAATTTAAATATATTTTGTCATTCAATAAAATAATAATAAAAATAAAATTTTTAATATTTTTTGAAATAATGAGTGTTGCAAACTAAAAACGTCCTCATACATATTTATTTTTATTACAATAAAATTATTTTTCAAAAATTAAGACGGAATAATCCAATTGAACGATTGGATCAGTTTACAGAATTCTATTATAATATTATAAAAAAAATTGAATTAATGATTTAATTTACCTTATACTTGCTATGAACCTAACATAGTAACATAAACTAGTTACTACCATTTATTTACTACCTACTTTATTTTTTATCATTAATAATACATTAACTATAAAGTATACAACTATATTATATACCACGAAAATAAACTATAATGAAAAAAATGTGTTTCTGTACCTAATTTTAATTTACTACCTATTTAACCTGTGGAGGGGGAGGGGGGGTTTGTAAAATCAGGGTTAGGCCACAACATTATGTAGTCCAGCCCGGTCTAAATGTGTCTAATAAATGAAAGATACAATATGATATGACTGATATGAGGGCTGGCATTTGCCTCCCATTCCCATACAACCATTATAACCATGTTAAGCCCGCCTAATGCCTGAAGGCTAAGCTTACACACTAGCCAAATGCTAAGGATAACAGCTTCTGATCTTCAGAGATCTTTTCATGATGTATATATTGTAGTTTTTCTTTTATTCCAATAAAAGACGCTGCATTAGGTATAGACGCGAGTCTTAGGCCCGTTTCACATGGACTCGCATCATACACGACGTATCGTACGCGCGCGTTTTTAGTTTACCTAAATTGATTAAGTTCATACGCGCTATACCTGCGAGGGAAACCCGAAACGCTTAAACTTGACAATTTGACAGATGTCTTTGAAGACTTGAGATTACTTTACAGTCTTTAGAATTTATAGAAAATCCCTTTGTATTGAATCAGTGGCGTATATCTATGTTCTCAAGTAATGCAACTGCATGGGTTGTCACAACTCGGGGTGGGTGGGGGACTGGATGGGTTGGTGTCAATGTGTTGTGTTTTCGATATAAAATGTAAATTATTTATAGATACTTGATGTTTATATAAAACATAAAAGTATACCTTGAGATACTGAGAGTACTTAGTAGGATATCGATGAAGTATGAAACATTTATTGTTCATACAGAACAAGATAAGCAGTCGACTCTCGGTGATGCGGGTCCGAGCAGGGGATAGTTGATAAATCTATTTATATACCTACATAATAAATCTGAATATTATTGTAAACTGTTAGCCTTAGCAGTTGATATTTTTCATGTTTACTACAATACTACCAGTTATATCGAATATCGATATCAGTCGTATCAATTTAAATTGTATTTTTAATTTTTACTTATTAGTTTTTGTATACAGTGTTATTGTATCACGATTCTCGTTTAATATATTTTTTCCAACTACTCTTTCTTAAGAGGCTTCTGAATCATTAACAATAATTATTTAACTGCTGAATTATTTAACAATGAGTGACAATAAAATAAAAAAATGTCGTTGCGGTCGTACTCAAGCAAATTTGAACAAAACAAATTGGCTTCGACATTTAGAAAGTTGTACAATTATGAAGGCATTAAAAGATACACGCTCTATAGCATCATTTTACACGAAAAAACCAAAACTTGAACAAATTAACTTCAGTAAGTTGGAATTTAAATTTTTAATACTATATTTAATGTCAGTTGCGTATTTATGAGTGAAAATTAGAAATATATCTGCCCATTGACCTTTTTTTCATTGTTTATTTTTTATGTTACATATTACAATTATATAAGGTTTATGTAATTAGTATTTTACACAATTTTAAAGTACATTATAATGTTATATAGTTAATAAACTAGTTAACCTATGTGTGTTTAATTATATTTATGAATGTTGGTAAGGATACTTCCTAATAATTGTAGACAGCTTCACGAAAATTATTCAGAATTCAGTTTTAAATTTAATACCTATAATTATTATTTTTTGTTTTTTGTGAATGAATGCAGAAAATACTAGTGAACTAATGCAATTAGATGCTGTTGATGTCCAACCTATCTTGACTACCCAGCAGTTAAATTCTCAAAAATTATTAAACAAAGATTTATGTAATAA